ACGGGTATAGGGAAGCGCTGTATAAGGTTCCCGTTATTGATGTTTGGGTGGTTGACCGGGACGGATTTTCTCCTGTCACTTTCTCGTCATCCCTGATGTGTTCTCCGTTGTTTTTTCCGTAGCTTCTGTATCACGTGTTATAAGGCTCCGGCCATTTGTTGAGCAGGAAGCGTGAGCGCTTGTTTTCATGCAGATTACGTCCCGGATCAAAATGCGGTACAATCGTTGTCGTCTTTTTTTATTTTTTTTTTTTTAATCGTTGTCATTTGGAAATGAGATCGCACATAAGTATGAATCGAGATCGCGATTTTCTAACGATTAATCGTGCAGCCCTAGACAAAAGGTCAATCTTTTATATATTTAATGATCATCCCACAAAATGTGAATATAACATGCTGTACCAGGAGTTGGGGTGCTATGGAATATATTTTGAAGTCCACATTGTAATATTGTTAAAGATGTATCTGTGTTTCTACTCATTGGGCTGTTCAAAAACAGATTATTTTCCAACTTATTTGAACTTTGTTTTTATATGTTTATATTCTAGTGCCTCAAAGTCTCTGTTTTAGCATATATTCTGGGTCACTTCCTTTAACCCCCATTTATTTCCTTGGCCTCCAAAGAATTTCAGACTTACAGAAACCTTGTGCTGGATGCCCATAAAGGGAACTGCAGAGCAGTCAAGCATATGCTGATGTATTATAACCAGACAGAAATTTAAATTGGTTGTCAGTCATGGTATTGCACGTCTTAAACCTTAACTGTGTTTCATTGTCTTTCACAGCAGTGGGAGAGTTCATGCATCCATGTGAAGATGACATTGTCTGCAAGTGCACAACAGAGGAAAACAAGGTTCCCTATTTCAATGCCCCAGTGTACTTGGAAAACAAGGAGCAGATTGGAAAAGTGGATGAGATATTTGGCCAGCTCAGAGACTTTGTATCCTTTCTATGGTCTTTGTTTTTCTCTAAACCTTTGATTGAACCGGTGTAACCGCTGTTTGACATTGTCAGTGTTCTTGTTGCTTCCTTAACCCACCTTTGCAGTATTTCTCAGTAAAACTTTCTGAAAATATGAAGGCATCTTCATTCAAGAAACTACAAAAGGTACCAAAAATGTCTCACTAAACTTTTCTAGTGACTAATTTAATACCTTAGATTTCTAACCAAAATGTTGTCTTTTAGTTTTATATAGATCCAATGAAGCTACTACCACTGCAGAGATTCCTCCCGAGGCCACCAGGAGAAAAGGGGCCTCCAAGAGGAGGCAGAGGTGGGGGTAGAGGTGGAGGAAGGGGTGGTGGTCGTGGAGGTAAGATGGCATTCTCATTTTAATTTAATCTTCTGGCTAATGTGGGA